GATAAAAAAAACTCACCTTGAGAAAACTGGATCAATACCAGGTTAAGGGAAATCTTAAAATTATATTCCATCATCTTTCATCTGATGAATTTGAATTGAACTGAAAAAAGCATACATACCTTGATATATGCATTTAAGTGTATTGATATATGCATCAAAAAGTATCAATGCACATATGTAGTTATTTTAAAAAACCATTTTAAAAAAACATTCCTGAAAAAAAAAGCACCACGACCTATAAAAGGTCTTCAGTACGTTCGACTCTTGAAAATTAAATTCCACATTCGAAACTAGAAGTCGATCACATTTTTTGTGTCATTTCAGCTTTAATAAATAGGGAGTGCATTTTGCGTACCTTCTAGCAAATGAACCTGAATTAAACTGAATAAATGTATATATACCTAACGTTATTTATGAGCCTGAATGCACTTTTTTTGTTATTAGAGCATTTTAAGACTTTTCATGAAAAAAAAACCTTCATCACGACCTATATAAAAATCTGAACTACGTTCATCGACTCTTACAAATAATAATAGAACAAAATAAAGAAACTGCACAAAACCGGAATTTGTAAATTAGCAAATTCAAAATGACGTTATGTTAATTAGATGTCTCTTGGCTGACAAGAAACGAGATGACGAACGAATGATTCAAAATGATTCAGTGATTCGCTTGCTAACCTAATCGCAACCGTAAAAACTTCAAATGCACATTATTTTTAACAATTAAAAAAATAGTATCTTAATGATACTCAAATAGTTGTTGACATGTGTTAACTTGATAATTTTTCTTTAATTGGTCAGAATCTTGATTCCTCTTTTCAGAAGTTTTCACAACTTCTCAATGGCTGCATAGCTTTTTTTAAACCCTGATGCAGTTTACATTAAATATAGCTCAATATAGTGCATCTAAGTTCAAACTCAATTCATAAGTTCAAGTGCATCTGTGAGAGCATTTCTTCGGCGCTAAATATTTTAGATACTGTTGACTGATTTCCAATTTTTAATCACTGTTGAGAGCGTATGATTTAAGTTTAATTTCAATATTCAGAATAGTCGCTGATCGAACGAGCGACTTATTATCCATCTTTGTCAAAATTTTCAGTTTCTTTTCATAAGAGCAGAAATATACATAAAAAACACAAATTAAATAAAGACATGTTCAATAAATAAAAACATTTGCTTCGACAATCAGTTTTCCTTGCAAAAGAAATTCACTAGTTTGATTTTGGCTCCTTGTTCGATTGGGAGGAGGCGTTAGAAGCAGCTGCAGCTGCCATAGTGCTGGCAGCCTCTTCTCTAAACAGCATCTTGTAGCAGTTCTGTACATCTGCCAGTTTCAGTTGGGACTCCTTCAGTTGCTGTTCTAACTCAACCGACAGGTCACTGTGATCTGAAACGACATTTCCGCCCAATATTACCAAATACTTAACATACACTGGTTTTGTTCAAGTTAGAATACATTGCCATGTTAAACAAGTCAAAAATTAGTTCGTCTTTGATAGATATCTCAAGCCATCGTAAATATTGTTCAAAATCGAGAAACAACGTTTTACTCAAAACTAAGCCTGACTTATCCCAAACAAATTTAAAAAATTTTAGGAAAAATAAAAAAAATTGCGTATGAACTTTCTGACAGTATAAAAATGCTAGTTTAAAAGTAAAAAAGCCATACCGAGCAGAAATATTCTGTCACTTTCATCGAAAAAAGCAACAATAATTGAAGAATAACGGCAACAAGGCATTAAGCGCAAAGTTTGAAATAATGATCTGGTTAGGACACGCCACACTTTCTAAATTCTTAATTTGTACTATTGCGATTGAACATAAATTGGAAGGCTTATAAATTAGAGATTTTCAAAACAATCAAATCAAGTTTTTAAGAGAAAATACTAGCTGCTTTTTTTAATATGCGCCCAAATTTTGTGTTAAAGTGCTAATTGAGTACCAAATACATTGATTTTGTTGATAACATTTTCTCAGAATTTTAAAACAAAATCCTAAGATCATTCAATAAAAACAGCAAAAAGTTTATTTTGCAGTTCCGAAAACAAAAAAAGCATGTTCAAAATTATTTAAGCTAATTAGATAGTTTCATTGCACTGAACGCTTTGTTGAACAAATACCATAATCTCGAACCCATTTAAGCATGGTGCGAACTTGGGCGTTTGTAGGGTAACTCGCATGCACCATTAAAGTATCTCAATTAAAGCTATTAGAAACTCATTCTTAATCTAATTTTGCGCTTCGAACTTCAAGATTGGATTTTTTTGAATAAACGTAGAACAAACCGATAATTAGTTTTTTTTATTCCAATAGGAAATTTAACACAGAGGTGAAGCTGCCATTCGCAAACACAAAAAGAGCTCTAAACAGGCAAAACAAACAGACATAAGGCAAAAAAAAGACTAAAAATACAACTTGAGAAAAATTTTTGCTGAGATTAGGAATATCACGTTCGCCATTCTGCTCCAGGATCGCTTGTAATTTTACTAACACTACCCACCAATGAAGCAGCTACAGTTACTATCAAATTGCCAATCCTAGGTAGCAAAAAATTGACCAAAAAAACTACTTTAAAATTCCGGATTAGAATCTCCGACCTGTTGATTTAGAGTCTCACATCCTGGCATCTGCGCCACGGTTGTTCGGAAGTAAGCTAGTGGCCCAGATAATGCGGGATGCGCCTTTTTCATTACTTTTAATCATATTGTACTGATATGGAAATGCGTAATTTTGAAAGTTTCAAAAAAATTAACTTTAAGCAAAACCCTAGTGCTCTTAGCTAGGGAATTAGCCGCTCATTTAAAGGAGAAAACTACTACTATCTCATTCAGGTAAATTATTTTGCTCGGAAACAATTGAAAGGTAATTTCTGAAACAATTGAAAAAGATTCCAAAAACTGATCAAAAGTTTAAAATTTGACTTTTCCTAAATTCATAAACTTTTCTCTACTAAAGCATGGGAATATCCTTTCTTGCAGGGAAGATTTTCACAGTCTTAACTATAGACTGAATCCCTAATATCAGGTTTAGCTGATAGTTTTTGAGAAAATTGATGAAATTTCTATTCAAAAATGGTTTGAATTTCAAAAAATAAATTTTTCACAAGTCCATATCGGATTTTCTTCAAACAATTAGGGTGTAACGGATAACGCAGGCAAAATTTAAGCACCGTGCTTGTTTGATAAACTATCAACCTTCGAATCGGTAGGTTAGTTTTCGGAAAAGTTTCCAAAAAAACAGGCATCATTTCGAAAAGTGGACCTTCCTAATGCCATTTTTTTTTCAAAACGTAAGACGTAGGCGCTTGCTCAGAGGAAAGTCGCCTAAATAATTTTTGCTTTCGGTTAAACTCTTGTCTCCAATTTTACAAGGTAGTTTTTGAAAAGTCAAATTTTCAAAATCTACAAATTTCAAAAAATTGGTGTTTGAGGACATAACTTTTTTTCCACCGAATTTGGGGAATAGCAGCTTCAGAAGAGAAAATCCCCATGATTTTTTCATTTGATTGATACTTTCATTCGCAGATGTGTGCTTTTTATTTTGAAGAAAAAAATACAAAAGTAGGTCAAAAATCCCCCATCTGAAACATTCGAAGGCCGTAGAATATCGAGAAAAATGAAAAGAGAGAGAAAAGCGAAATAAACAGACACATAGAAGATAAGCCGAATTTTTTTATTGGTGTGATGCTTTTTTTTCGAAAATACCTACAGTAGTTTTTGAGAAAAATTAAAACTTCTGCGGAAAGTGCAAAAGTTTTCCAAAGCGTTGCATAATACTGTTTTTTCAAACAGGACCTAACACTAGCCAAACATAAAGCAGCAACATATTCTAATAATTTGCCTTAAATAAGCTTTAATATGATTAAATTGAAGTAGACCTAAAGTGCCACCAAATGAGCACTTTTATGTGATTTAGATTGGAAAAAAAAGCTGCGTAATAATAGACTACGCTTCCCTTGTTTAAGACAAATGCTTCGTAATTTTACATTACACTTCGATTGTGTAAACAGCGAACAGGCAGTAACAACAGAATCAAGAAACACAAGGAAACCGAAAAAAATTGACAATTCTTTTTTTTAAATTAAATTTCAAAGTATATATAGAACCTTTATGTACGACCTTTGATAAAAAAAACTCACCTTGAGAAAACTGGATCAATACCAGGTTAAGGGAAATCTTAAAATTATATTCCATCATCTTTCATCTGATGAATTTGAATTGAACTGAAAAAAGCATACATACCTTGATATATGCATTTAAGTGTATTGATATATGCATCAAAAAGTATCAATGCACATATGTAGTTATTTTAAAAAACCATTTTAAAAAAACATTCCTGAAAAAAAAAGCACCACGACCTATAAAAGGTCTTCAGTACGTTCGACTCTTGAAAATTAAATTCCACATTCGAAACTAGAAGTCGATCACATTTTTTGTGTCATTTCAGCTTTAATAAATAGGGAGTGCATTTTGCGTACCTTCTAGCAAATGAACCTGAATTAAACTGAATAAATGTATATATACCTAACGTTATTTATGAGCCTGAATGCACTTTTTTTGTTATTAGAGCATTTTAAGACTTTTCATGAAAAAAAAACCTTCATCACGACCTATATAAAAATCTGAACTACGTTCATCGACTCTTACAAATAATAATAGAACAAAATAAAGAAACTGCACAAAACCGGAATTTGTAAATTAGCAAATTCAAAATGACGTTATGTTAATTAGATGTCTCTTGGCTGACAAGAAACGAGATGACGAACGAATGATTCAAAATGATTCAGTGATTCGCTTGCTAACCTAATCGCAACCGTAAAAACTTCAAATGCACATTATTTTTAACAATTAAAAAAATAGTATCTTAATGATACTCAAATAGTTGTTGACATGTGTTAACTTGATAATTTTTCTTTAATTGGTCAGAATCTTGATTCCTCTTTTCAGAAGTTTTCACAACTTCTCAATGGCTGCATAGCTTTTTTTAAACCCTGATGCAGTTTACATTAAATATAGCTCAATATAGTGCATCTAAGTTCAAACTCAATTCATAAGTTCAAGTGCATCTGTGAGAGCATTTCTTCGGCGCTAAATATTTTAGATACTGTTGACTGATTTCCAATTTTTAATCACTGTTGATACCGTATGATTTAAGTTTAATTTCAATATTCAGAATAGTCGCTGATCGAACGAGCGACTTATTATCCCTCTTTGTCAAAATGTTCAGTTTCTTTTCATAAGAGCAGAAATATACACAAAGAACACAAATTAAATAAAGACATGTTCAATAAATAAAAACATTTGCTTCGACAATCAGTTTTGCTTGCAAAAGAAATTAACTAGTTTGATTTTGGCTCCTTGTTCGATTGGGAGGAGGCGTTAGAAGCAGCTGCAGCTGCCATAGTGCTGGCAGCCTCTTCTCTAAACAGCATCTTGTAGCAGTTCTGTACATCTGCCAGTTTCAGTTGGGACTCCTTCAGTTGCTGTTCTAACTCAACCGACAGGTCACTGTGATCTGAAACGACATTTCCGCCCAATATTACCAAATACTTAACATACACTGGTTTTGTTCAAGTTAGAAAACATTGCGATGTTACAAACAAGTCAAAAATTAGTTCGTCTTTTTTATAGATATCTCCCGGCCATCTTAAATATTGTTCAAAATCGAGAAACAACGTTTTACTCAAAACTAAGCCTGACTTATCCTAAAGAAATTAAAAAACACGTCTCCTTGTCTCAATTTCCAATGCAAGTTTCGTCCCATCATATTGATATTATTTTTATACCATCATATGAACAAGACATAACCAACGTTATTGCATGTGATGAGTCTAGTAGTAGTAAGTATGTGGTACCTTTGAATAGTGCATTGAGTGTGTGTTTGTGCTGTCTCTGGAGACAGAGTTTGGCCTGTGCCTGACACAGACTGCCCTGTCTGATCTCACTCTGCAACTCCATGTTCTCCTCACTCAACTGTCTACTCTTCGCTATCAACAGCTTCCCCACCTGACTGCAACCCACACATCAACATTACATTAATAACTATATTATAATACGACCAGTTGAAAGAAAATTGCATTTAAAAGTTTAGGATGGTTTTTTGTTTTAAAATTTCTGGTTTTCATTAAATTCTTCTGACTACCTGTTTTCTAACATTTTATTCATGACATGAATTTGCCTCACGTTAATTCTCGCAAAACTCGGTAAAATCATTTTATAATGTCATGATTTGTTGCGGACTAATAATTAAGAGATTTGACTTCTAAATGAACTAAGGACAATTCAAGACGAGTCAACCACCTTGACCAACTTGAATACAATTGATGTTGCAATGAAAATGACGCTCAGTTTTGATCCACCTTTAAGCCAAAAATACGATTGATGAGTTGATATTTGATTTCTTCATAAAAAGTTGTGCGCTTGATGACTCACTTATCTACACTATAAGAACAATTATGTAAGTCTGTCTCCATCACTTTTTGGAGTCTCCTCTTGGCTGCCAAATCCTCGTTGAGAGATGATATAGTCTGTTGCACAACAGGGTCAACAGTGTACCGATCGAAGTCAGTCAATGACTGTGCCTTGCGGCAAGAAGCGTCGATTTCATTCTAAAATAATCAGAAGCTCCAAGATAGAAAAAAGAAAGGTTTGCAAAAAAGTGTCATAATTTGAAAAATGCATGCTTTGCGAAATATCTTGCCCTGATTTGGTTTAAAAGAAAGAAAGAAATTACTTCTCCAGTAATTAATTACATCGTGCATCAAACAATACAATACACAAACTTTCACTAACTCAACAAAATCAATTTTTTACGTTATGAAAAAAAATCCTGGAGAGGATAGGCGAAAGGCATACATGATGCCCACATGGAGCCTACCCTAGAACATCATTGCAGTCAGAGCAATTTAACGAATCAAAGATACATATTACAAAAATTAAAATATCTGTCAACACCCAAATAGGGGTGAACATTATTTAAAACTGAAAAATTAATTTTCAAATATAAAATGGGAAAGTTCTGAACTTACAACAATTAAAGTTCGTTTTTATTTTGTGCACAAAAATTTAACTTTTGCTCATTTTCCCTAAATTCTCCGGCTGTAATCTATTCAAGATCACTCAAGATTATAAGAAGCTTTGACCCACGGTTCTGCAGTGATGTAGACTTGATTTTATTAGAACAAAAAGGGTTTTTAAATGTGAGGAATGAAGATCTGGTATTAAAAGTCGATTTAAGCTCTATAAAAAACTCCTTTAAAAATTTATTTGATTGCAGATTGTTGAATTATCTGATTGGAGACAAAAATTTAAGCAAATCATAAATGAACAGTTCATGAACCGATAAAATACCATTATACTGAAATTCATTTGAAAAGCTATCAAACTTAAGCTTGAAATAAATCATTCTGAATTTTTTATGCAAAAGCAGAATGGCATTAAGATTTGCGAAAGATGTGCATCCATGAACAAGCAAACCATATTGAATAGTTGTTTTTACATTTGAAGTATAATACTTAATCAATGTTGCCCTGGGTACAAAATATCTCATTTTAGAAATAACCCCACAATGTCTTCCAAATTTCGATTTAATTTTCAAAAACATGTTGTGTAAACGTCATTTTATTGTCTACAATTATCCCTAAATACGAACCCTGAAACTTTTGAAGGCAAGCAGAGCCTGTCCAAATAAAAAAACACATTTTGCACAATTTTTGAGGTAATTTCTGCTTGTTTTCTCAAAACTTCGAATAAAAAAAGTCGACGGAAAAAGGTAATTTCGTAGCTAATAGAAAACTTTCCGAAAAAATCACCTTCATTACTTACCCGTAGCTTTGCCAGCTCTTTCAATTTTCTCAAAACAGTGGCCTTTTGCGTCGAGTTTCTACCTAAACGGAATAACTATGAGCCAAGCACTCAAAGCATATTGGGGTTCAAACTTGCTTTCTACGATTATCACAAGCCAAAGCAGATAATGTAGCTAATTATAATTTTTCATACCCAAGTCATTCTCAAGGTTCCTCAGGTAGTCGTCTTGTAACTTCCAGAACTTCAAAAAATCAGCAGGAGGCATACAATTAAGAGTGTCGTCGTTGATTGAGATCTAGGACAAACTTAATTTGAAGCACTTAATACACCAATTGAATATCAACTCATTTGGCTCCTAGGGTTGGCAGGAAAACATAGGTGTTTATAAACAAGTTAAGCGTTTTGTTCTATTATTACGCGTTTTCTTTGGTTATTTTTCGCGTAACTGAGGCCACTCACACCACACAGAATGAAAATGAGTACTTTTGGTTTTTTGAGTTAATTTTAGCTCCTAACTATTTCACCGACTTAAGTTTCAATTTCTTTCACATACATTAGAATTTTAAAACTTGTTATAATTATTTTTTTGCCAACCCTGGCTGTAGTAAAATTCAGCCGACTTCTATCAGATGTTATCTAAATTATTTTGAAAATACACACAGCTCGATCAAAAACTAGAAAGTATGATATACTCATAATTTCAAACAGTATAGATAAAGATTACAGACAAAATTCTGGAAAAGTTATCATGCCGTATCAATCATGTTTTATGCGAACAGATCGCTGAAATTCAGAATACAAAGAGCTGAAAATTGACAGATATAGCGTTATCATCAATCCAATCATTGCAACAAATTGAAGAGAACAATTAGAAAAACAACCCCAAGATTCAATTTTAGGTCCATTTCTTTTTCTTATTTAAGTTAATGATCTACCAAATGCAAGCAAAAACTCGGAAACATTTTTATTCGCTGATAACACCACGAATCTTGTGCCTTGACAATTCTTTGGTAACTTTGAGTTACAACTTTTATGCAGTATTACGATGGCTCTCAGCAAATAAGTCATCCCTAAACATGAAAAAAAAACAATTCAATTGAATAAAAAGCAGCGCTTCTACCAATACCATCAATCAAAATAAAAACTTGTCCTCGGAGTTGTCATCGTAATATTCGGGAATGAACATACATTACAAATTGAACTTTATAGTACATATTGACTATGTCAGGACAAAATTGCGCAGTGTGGATTAGTTGCCAAAACTGGGCATTTAGTGCCATTTCGTGTTCTTTTTCAATATTATGTATCAAACATTAGATCATTGATACAATATGGTATTTTGGTGTACGGGTGTACAAATTGCGATGCCTTACAACCAATCCTAATTTTACAAAAAAAAAACTGTTAGGCTGATGTCCTTTCGCAAATTCTATGACAGTAATTTAGAGGTTTTGCCTCAAGAAAAATCTTTAGTACATGAATTGTATGTACATGAGCTAATGAAGTTTCTTATATGATCATTATTCGGTCATCACGCCGAAAAATATCTAACGAATTGTTTTGTTTCGATTATCGCAGTAGAACTGCTAGATGATCGAATAGAAGTTTTTTGAAAACAATCAGAAGTCAAAAAATTAAAAATAATCACTGGTATCGAGAGGATCTAAACTCTTGAATATCCGTCAAGAAAATGATTAGACTCTTATTGAAGTTCAGTCGTAAAATGTCTCGCAAATGAGAATTACGAAAGAAACACCTTCATATTCTGGGGAAACTATGACTGTATTAAGCCAATTTTTGAAATCCATTATTTGAAAATTTTTATTCATTTTTATCCACATTTCTTTATCCACATTTTCCCACATTTAAGCCTGCCTATATTTTTCTCCTCGGGGAAGTAAGAAAATATTCGGTTGTTACTCCGAGAGGGCAGGCTGCCAGTGCCTTATTAGGTTCTACTAGTCGCCTCTTCCGGAAGTCTGGATTTGTATAAGCGACAATTTGAACATCACAACTTGAAATGATAATATGATCAATCATAATGCTAAGCTTGTGCTCATGTTTAAAAGCGATTTAAAAGATTTAAATCAATCTCTTTTGTGATATACAGGCTTGCTACTTCTGTTTTCTCTAGATTTTTTTAGTTTTCGAATCACATTTGAATTTGTTTCTGTCAAATTTTATTCTGAAATTTTACTTTTTGATAAATCACCAGAGAAAACAGAAGTAGCAAGCCTGTATATCACAAAAGAGATTGATTAAGCTCTCAGGCAGAAAAGGTTTAACATCCGCAGGACCAATAACTTCGAAAACAAAAACTCTTTCAGGGAACTTAAGGTCATTTAGCAAACAGTAAAGCTTGAGCAAAACTTTTGAGAAAAGGCTTCACATCTAAACTTAATTTCAATGAACTGGAAAAATCTGAAAACCAAACCAGTCAATCAGTGATTATTGTGATCATGTTCTCAGACAGTGTAGATATAACATCACAAAGGACTAATTATCTTAAAATCTGCAAAATTTCAACAAAAGCTACTCAAAACAAATTCTAAAAACTGAAAGAACTGTGTCAACAAGAAAATAACTCATTATTCACTGGAGGCCGTGACCTTGCTTTCCGACTTTTTAACTAAGATGAATTAAAAGAAATCACAACCAAATCAGGGGAATTTATGATCACTAATCAGACAGTATGATTTCAGCATCACTAAAAAATCGAAAGGGACCTAATTTGAAACAAAATTTTTTAAGACAAAAACTAAGAAGAACTTGAAAGCGAGTAGTTTGATACTAGTCTCAATTATGTTAGAAAATTCAAAACCAATTATCATTGTAATTATATCAATCGACAAGAACTTTCCGATAAGTAAACAGACAGTAATAACTCAGCATTACTTTTTGAGAACTCAAACACAACTCCAAAAGAACAAAAAAACTGAGGTTGAAAAACAAGAAAAATCCATCCTTGAATAGATTGATCATGCTTTTAGACAGTGTAATTATCAGGAACGACAATCAACTCTGATACAAACAATTTTGTTCAGGGAACTTTGGTGATTTATCAAAAAGTAAAATTTCAGAATAAAATTTGACAGAAACAAATTCAAATGTGATTCGAAAACTAAAAAAATCTAGAGAAAACAGAAGTAGCAAGCCTGTATATCACAAAAGATATTGATTAAGCTCTCCGGCAGAAAAGGTTTAACATCCGCAGGGTCATTTACTTCGAAAACAAAAACTCTTTCAGGGAACTTCAGGTCATTTAGCAAACAGTAAAGCTTCAGCAAAACTTTTGAGAAAAGACTTCACATCTAAACTTAAGTTTCAATGAACTGAAAGGATCTGAAAATCAAACCAGTCAATCAGTGATTATTGTGATCATGTTCTCAGACAGTGTAGATATAACATCACAAAGGACTACTTATCTTAAAATCTGCAAAATTTCAACAAAATCTACTCAAAACAAATTCTAAGAACTGGAAGAACTGTGTCAACAAGAAGATAACTCATTAATCACTGGAGGCCGTGACCTTGCTTTCCGACTTTTAAACTAAGTAGAATTAAAAGAAATCACAATCAAATCAGGGGAATTTATGATCACTAATCAGACAGTATGATTTCAGCATCACTAAAAAAATCGAAAGGGACCTAATTTAAAACAAAATTTTTTAAGACAAAAACTAAGAAGAACTTGAAAGCGAGTAGTTTGATACTAGTCTCAATCATGTTAGAAAATTCAAAACTAAATATCATTGTATTTATATCACTCGACAAGAACTTTCCGATAAGTAAACAGACAGTAAAAATTCAGCATTACTTTTTTGAGAACTCAAACACAACTCCAAAAGAACAAAAAAACTGAGGTTGAAAAACAAAAAAAAATCCATCCTTAAATAGATTGATCATGCTTTTAGACAGTGTAATTATCAGGAACGACAATCAACTCTGATACAAACAATTTTGTTAAGGGAACTTTGGTGATTTATCAAAAAGTAAAATTTGACAGAAACAAATTCAAATGTGATTCGAAAACTAGAAAAATCTAGAGAAAACAGAAGTAGCAATCCTGTATATCACAAAAGAGATTGATTAAGCTCTCAGGCAGAAAGGTTCAACATCCGCAGGACCATTAACTTCGAAAACAAAAACTCTTTCAGGGAACTTAACGTCATTTAGCAAACAGTAAAGCTTGAGCAAAACTTTTGAGGAAAGACCTCACATCTAAACTTAAGTTTCAATGAACTGGAAGAATCTGAAAATCAAACCAGTCAATCAGTGATTATTGTGATCATGCTCTCAGACAGTGTAGATATAACATCACAAAGGACTAATTATCTTAAAATCTGCAAAACTACAACAAAAGCTACTCAAAACAAATTCTAAAAACTGAAAGAACTGTGTCAACAAGAAAATAACTTATTAATCACTAGAGGCCGTGACCTTGCTTTCCGACTTTTTAACCAAGTAGCATTAAAAGAAATCATATTCAAATCAGGGGAAATTATGATCACTAATCAGACAGTATGATTTCGGCATCACAAAGAAAATCGAAAGGGACCTAATTTAAAACAAAATTTTTTAAGACAAAAACTAAGAAGAACTTGAAAGCGAGTAGTTTGATACTAGTCTCAATCATGTTTAAAAATTCAAAACCAATTATCATTGTATTAATATCAATCCACAAGAACTTTCCGATAAGTAAACAGACAGTAATAACTCAGCATTACTTTTTTGAGAACTCAAACACAACTCCAAAAGAACAAAAAAACTGAGGTTGAAAAACAAGAAAAATCCATCCTTGAATAGATTGATCATGCTTTTAGACAGTGTAATTATCAGGAACGAAATTCAACTCTGATACAAACAATTTTGTTAAATGAACTTTGGTGATTTATCAAAAAGTAAAATTTCAGAATAAAATTTGACAAACAAATTCAAATGTGATTCGAAAACTAAAAAAAATCTAGAGAAAACAGAAGTAGCAAGCCTGTATATCACAAAAGAGATTGATTAAGCTCTCAGGCAGAAAAAGTTCAACATCCGCAGGACCATTAACTTCGAAAACAAAAACTCTTTCAGGAAACTTAAGGTCATTTAGCAAACAGTAAAGCTTGAGCAAAACTTTTGAGAAAATACTTCACATCTAAACTTAAGTTTCAATGAACTGAAAGGATCTGAAAATCAAACCAGTCAATCAGTGATTATTGTGATCATGTTCTCAGACAGTGTAGATATAACATCACAAAGGACTAATTATCTTAAAATCTGCAAAATTTCAACAAAAGCTACTCAAAA